GGGGTTTTTGGGGGGATTTTTGGGTGTTTGTGACCCCGTTTCCCCCTGCCCAGGGTGGTGGAGGACGAGGGGGGCTCGGGGGCCCCGGGGCTGCGGCTCCGGCGCAGTTTCCCCACGCGGCACCGGGAGCAGCCCCTGAGGAGCTGCTTCTGCCCCCTGATGTCCTTCCGGCAGGGAGCCTGCGTGGGTGAGCACTGGGACAAACTGGGGAAGGACTGGGGTGGACTGGGATGAACTGGGAATGGACTGGGATGAACTGGGAATGGACTGGGAGGGACTGAGAGTAGACTGGGAGGGACTGGGACAAACTGGGAAGGGACTGGAAATGGACTGGGAATGGACTGGGACGGACTGGGAATGGACTGGGGTGGACTGGGATGAACAGGGAATGGACTGGGACAAACTGGGGAAGGACTGGGAGAGACTGGAAGGGGATGGGACAGGACTGGGAGAAACTGGGAATAGACTGGGGTGGGCTGGGACAAACTGGGAGGGACTGGGATGGACTGGGAGGGACTGGGGTGGGCGCAGGGACAGCTGCCACCCCCCCAGCCGTGTCCCCGTGTCCCCAGGCAGTGTCGGGCAGCAGAGAGGGCAGTGGGGTCACAGCTGTCCTTGTTGTCCCCAGCAGAGCCAGGCAGCGAGGGGGGCACCAAAATCACAGCCCTGAGCCTGTCCCCAGTGTCCCCAGTGTCCCCGATGTCCCCACAGTGACGGGCAGCGAGGGGACGGTTGGGTGCCATCCCTCATCCCTGTCCCCAATGTCCCTGATGTCCCCACCAGTGACAGGCAGCAAGGAGAGGCGTTGGGTGCCATCCCTTATCCCTGTCCCTCATGTCCCTGATGTCCCCAACATCCCTTCAATGGGATCACATTGCCCAGCCCTGTCCCTGATGTCCCCACCAGTGACAGGCAGCAAGGAGAGGCGTTGGGTGCCATCCCTTATCCCTGTCCCTCGTGTTCCTGATGTTCCCAATGTCCCCGCCAATGTCCCCGTGTCCCCACAGTGACGGGCAGCGAGGAGAGCTGTTGGGTGCCATCCCTCAGCCCTGTCCCCAATGTCCCTGATGTCCCCATGTCCCCACAGTGACGGGCAGTGAGGAGGGCAGTTGGATCACATCCCTGACTCCTGTCCCCAATGTCCCCAATG